ATTCTTTACTTTTTAGAAAATGTTATGATATATATATATACATATACATATATATATATATATATATATATATATATTGTACAAGTAATTAAATATCATAAGTAACTAACACAGTTATTTGATGAAGTCATGGACAAAAATCCTATTTCAATAGAATTCTAGTCATGGAGAAAAGTCAATTCTGTTCTATGTTAATATAATCTGTAACTTGATACAGTTACCTGCAATAATTAACGAGGCACAATTTATTATGCTATATATTTTGTACAGTACAATATTTATAAGCCGTTATATATATATATTAAGTAAAAGTGAATGTAATATTCGTATAGATTTTTAGATAAAGACTTTTAGTCTTATTTTATAGGCCGCTTTTTTATATTGAATAGAATTTATACGAAATAGATCACACAAACGATAGTAATTGAATATATAAGAAGAATGTAACGTGGCCTCTGAAATCGTAAATATAAGCATACAAACACACATACATATATATAAACTTATGTACGTAAGAACGTATGTTGTATATATGTATACATGTATGTATGTATGTATGTATGAATGAATAAATGTACACACATAACAAACAAACATATGTGTACTACGAGATGTCTTCCACTACTAAGAAAAAAATAAAAAGAGAAAAAAGAAAACGCGCAAATATACCTGTAACAATTATTTCTACATTCTTGATGTATGTTTTGTTGTAAACAATATCGCGTAGAATATCTTACAAAATTCTTTGTATGTATGTTGTATATTAAAAAAGAAGTACGAGGCATATATTAAAAAATTTACATTATAGAAATAACACAGAATTTGATTATCTTTGTAAATTCAAATCAAATATTGCAATATTTATTTTACTTTTATGTTTATTTTTAAGGGGTACAATATTTACTACAACATTCGATTTATTTAATATATATTTACCGTATTGAGTCTCACAGATTCCAGGAGTATTAATTATAATTTAGAGTAAAAAAGATACAAGTATAAAAAACGACAAATATTTGCTTATCACAAGAAAAGACTTCGCAAACGACGTCCTACACCTTGTCTATCGTACAAAATATTGAATTTGTTAACAAACTGATTAATATTGTTACAACCTTTTGTTATAATACCAAGATACGTCATTAAACCAAAATCATTACATTGCTAAAAATATAAACAATGTCACATGTTAAATATGTAGGTAAATTATTCTTCTAGAAACACTGTAATATATACTTACATTATAAAAATCAGCTTTAAATTTGGGATTATTTAGGACTGGTAATCTGTGTCCTAGAGAACAAGCTGCTCTTAAAACTTCATGGTTTCCTTTTAATTCACCATTCTGTACAGCTTGTACATATTTTAAAACTAATTTCACTCTTGAATGTAACATTTTTATAGCACTATGTTGTGCAGTGAGATGTTCTGCAACTGTTACAAATTACAAATTTAAGTGTTACCTATGTTTTGCTTATTTAGATAATTATATAGACACAAAATTACCTAATGAACTTTCTCCTTGATCATTACTACACATTCTTGCTACATGATCCACGCCAATTCTTTCTGCCTCCTCTGTTGCTAATGTATAAGTCAATGGGACAAACAACATTGTGGCTTCCCCATTTACTAAATCAATCACAGATTCATACATGGAGACAGAAAGTTGCTATAAAACATAAAACTTATTAAATATTACACACACGGTTAATAATTAATACATACATCAGTATTTTTTGGTCTTGGATCAAGCTTCAATAACACTGGGCTTTCATTAATTTCACAAAGTTGTTTATGTACTGTAATATCCTTCTCATTAGGCATATCGCCTGTAGTATACCAGCCAAGAAAGTCCATTTCGCTAAAGACTTGTTTAAATTGTTCTTCCTTGGTATTGTAATAATCTCTATCGATGATGACATCATCCTTAATACACGTAAACATTAATTCAAAAGAATTCATAATTTCTATATTGCGTCCTTTCTGTTTACCAATAAGTGCTCCGTATACTAGAACGTTGAGTCATGAAAAATGTGAGCTATTGAAACATAAAAGTGAAAAACAGTACAGAATATGTACCTAGTTGATCTGTGCCTTCTTGAGCACGTAGCCTAGTCCAGTGTTCGCTGACATTCATTATGACAAGAGGATGAAGACTAATAGAAACAGAACCAACTGTACCCGAAGATGCCATCACTTTGATAGCACTAGAGGGATTTGTTGATGTGATGTTGCCTTTTCCAGAAGTATCATCATCAACCTCCATCGGTGTATCCGTTGAAACCGCTGCGTTATTTTCATCAACCTCCATAGTGTTTAAAATCTATTTCTACACGTTTGTGTGTTGTATACAACAATATGTACAAAAAATTATTAATCAGTATTCTGTAGGGTGTACAATGATCGCAAATGATCGATATGAATTTTATTATGATACCTAGATTCTTGATTAAATAGAGTCCTTTCTTTGAAATATTCTTACTTAGTATATATTTAAATATCAGCCGAATCCGAAACGTCTAACTCGACCGTGCGTTCCCTCGCAATCGTGCTCGACTATAAATTCAGCGTTGTCAAATTTAGACGTGCATATGTAGTTACTTAGATAGCACAAGTAATACACCGCTCGTAAAATGTTCCTTTGCGATGCAATAAATTATTATAAATCTAGATAACGTACAGCGAATCTGGAGTTAGTGATCGTGTCATACACACCAGAAGTTGCATCAAAAAACACACTAGCACGAGAAAGTTTTACTACCTGAATAAACACTTGAATATGTGAACAACTTGCGTGTACTACCGAGTACAATTGGATATTTTTAAAAGGGAATCGTTAAACCGATTAAACGCGTACACTATACACGAGAGTAATTGTAAAAACATAAATTTTAAACCGAAACAGCACAGTTGAGTGTTGTGACGATTAAATCCAATGAGACGATAAAACAGAAATTGGCCATTCCTAGGCCAGCCAATATAAAACAATCATGTGTTTTCTGGGCTCGACGTACAGCACAGTAAGATGTTACACTGCATAATTTTCTCATTTATTTGCCCTTGTTTATTTTGAATTGATCGCGTCGATCGGAGTTACTAGATGATTCAATAATAAAACCGTGGTATAGGCGACATTTCGTCAAGTTTAAGTAAGTATGTGTATCGATTAGACAATTCACGAAGAAAAATTTTAGGTTAGACGGAATGGATCTGGGTTAATAAAGGGCGCAGTTGATTGCGAATGTCCAAAAATTTGTCACCTCTCTTGTCGAGTCTTGTCTAGGACAATTTGGAATCGAGAAATATTTGTTTTATCTCAGCTGCTATCTCTTTTGTGTTATTCCGCAATGATGTATTTTTTCTCTGAATTGCGTTTGTAATTTTCGATGACACAAAACAAATCAACTGTACTCTAATTAAATTTATACATACATATATACATAAAAAAGAGAAGCAAAGGCATCAGTGATAATTGCATTGAAATTTTAAATTTATTGTTTGATGATAGAAAGAAGTATTATGCAGAATTAAAGCTATTGAGTGGTTTCACTTGACACTTTGTACTGTTGATATCTCTGTACAATGGAGAAATTAATAGGAATCCTTCAATTGAAAGATATACTCAACAACTTTCCAAGGACTGTAAAATTTTGCTTTGCGTATGGATCTGCGGCATTCAAACAAATGAACAATCAATCGAACAATATGATCGATCTTATATTTGTTGTTCGTAATGCAAATCAATGGCATGCCGAAAATTTGAAGCTCAATCCAAAGCATTATGCCCAACCACTGAAGCTTTTTGGACACAAGGCAATTACTAACGTACAAGAGAAATGGGGCGCTAAAATATATTATAATACGCTGGTTAAAATGCCTCAAGGATATATGATCAAGTATGGTGTAATTTCTGAAGTTTCACTGATAGAAGACCTATTGGATTGGACTGACATATACTTAGCAGGGAGGCTACATAAGCCAGTTAAAATACTTGTGGAACCAAATGAATATTCTCAATTACGCACAGCGTTAGTACAAAATTTACATTCGGCTGTACATGCAGCATTATTACTGCTTCCACAGCATTTTACGGAAGTTGAGTTTTACAAAGTTATAGCTGGTTTATCCTATAATGGTGACTTTCGTATGACGTTTGGCGAAAATAAAGAGAAAGTCAGCAATATTGTTTTGCCCCAGCTGACATACTTTAGGCAATTATACAGCCCAATTTTACATCATTTTGAGAATTGTGTTGATATTCCAAAGTCTGAGAACATGACTGTTACCTGCCATCAAGATACAAGTCCTGCAACAAAAATACATCACTTGAATCAATTACCTAGAACATTACAAGTTAAGCTTGTTAGGGCATGGTCTCAAGGTCCCAGATCAAAGGATACTGAAGATTGTTTACGCGCAATTGCTTACGATCCTGACTGTGGTGAAATATTAGACGACTGCTTGAGAAAGATTGTATGGAGATCCAGTGTTACCCAAAGTCTGAAGGGTATCATAACTGCTGGGTTCATGAAATCTATTCAATACACTGCAGCGAAAGTAATGAAGATGTTCCAAACAAATTCACAGATAACTCCCCTTCCAAAATTAGAGCCGAGTCAAAGTAAAGTTGAAAGAATAGTGGAGAGCGTAAAGGATCAGGCACAATCAAAAGAAACAGATAAGCGCATAGAGTAGTAATCACATTGATCTTACTCATACTTTAATTCTGTCATATGTACTGTGATTCATGCGAATATGTATGTTTAAATAAAGTTCTCATTTAGTCGACTTGTAATTATTGTTCCTAGGTATAATTCAATACAATGCAATGTTTTAAAATATTTCTATGAAACACTGTTCCGTGTTCTACTAAGTAGGATAATTAAGAATTAAAATTAAATTCTTAATTATTAAATTGTATGGTGTTATTTGTTTGTAGTAAAACTATACGTGTATTTATACTGGTTTCAGCAAGTAACTAATTATGACTACAATGGATTCTGATTCGGAGAGTCAGGACAGTGATGATGGACGACGATTTCGTTTTGAAGCTACTCGTAAAGATAACGTGCAGTTAGATACAAAATTAGGAAAACTATCGAGATCGAAATCGCAACACGAGTCTGGCTCTAATGACACAGAGAATAAAGATAAGAAAGACAAATCTAAACGTCACTGTAACAAAGGAGAACACAAATTTTCAAAAGAACTCGACACCGATAACGACTTCAAACACTGTACTAAGCATTCGAAATATTCTGTCGAGTCGAAAAACTCGAAACACGAAGACGATGATGACTATAAAAATGTAAGAGATGCTGGTTCGGATACTAAGAATACTACGTTATCGTCAAAACATAAAACGAAATATCCAGAACGGCATAAAAATAGAAGCCGAAACGAGCATCGAAGCAACAAGTCTCAAGAACGATGTCGTAGTCGAAACGAAAACGACAAGTATAGAAATAAATCTCACGAAAAGTATAAGCATTCTATTCGCGACAGAAACCGTGACAAGAATTATCAGTCGTACAAAACGAGATCAGACGAGCACGGTAAGTTTCGAGGAGAATCTGAAAGGCATAACGCACACAAAAAGATGCTGGCTAAAGAAGATGAAGGGCAATGCTTGGAAGAATATTCTTCACCAAAAAATGTAGAACAAGGTCACAATGATAATGAATCACCAACGAAGAGAGATCTTTCAGTGGAGAATCAAGAATATAAGGATGAATTAAATTTATCCGAATTTGACATCTTGTCGGAGACGGATGAAAATACATCCGATTGTTCCGATGTAAAGGATAAAAATTCACTATCACGACAACGTAATAAGAAATCGAAAAAAAGAAATTTTAACAATGAATGCGATAATTTACCAAAAAAGCAGGCGAAACAAATCGAGCCCATGGAAGGATCGCTAAAGGTAAATGCAAGGAAGAATAATATGTTGTATGGTTCCAGTAATAATAATTCTGGTACCATTTCAGATTCCTCATTAGGTACTACATCGCCTATACTGACAGAATCGAGGAAAAACATAGTTGATTTAAATAGTAAGGAGGAGAGTTTGAATTTTACTGAACAAACTTCCTTGCATCCTGATAATTACGACTCTGTAAAAGCAACAGATGTTCATTCATCTGAGACGTGCGTTGAGAAATGTACAACCTACGGGCCGGCCTTGCCGCCGCAATTAACAGTTGATTCTTCCATTAGCATGGAATCAAATGAAGATGTACATTTTATAGGACCTTGTTTATCAAAGAATGACGCACAGGATACAAGTGCAAGAACCGAGAAAAGCACACTACACAGCATTAATCAAGATTGCAACACAATGCAAAGCGATACGGATGTTGTTTTTGGTCCAGCATTACCACCGCATTTATTGAAGCAAAAATATAATAACGAAACAAATGCAAAAATCATAGGCCCTACTCTTCCAAATACCGTAACATCGTTTAATGATAATGAAGTAAATCAAATAGAATCCGAGGACGAAGATGAAGGTATAGGTCCATTGCCAGTCAATCACCCAGCGTTAGAAAGTAACTATGTACAAAGACAATTGGAACAACGAGCGCAGCTAATTAAAAATGAACAGAAGAATGAGGTAAGTGAACAGAAGAATGAGACAAATTGATTGCCTTGATATTTGAAATGTTTGGAAAAATTGGAATATAACGAATGATATTACAGGATTGTAGTATGGTGAATCAACGGGAAGAATGGATGATCGAGTTACCTCCGACTCAGATGGATAATCTAGGATTAACATCACGAAAATTTCGAATGAGAGCAGGTCCAGATATGTCTGATAGATCATGCTGGACAGATACTCCAGCAAAGAAGGCCGAGAAAAGAAAACAGCGAGTAAATACGACATAATATACTTTTTTTTTTTTTTTTGTAAAGAGAATTGTTAAAATAATGTTGCAAACATCTCATCATTTTAGGAAGAACAAAAACTACACAATGTTCAAACATCAGTTCGAGATTTGTTTGAGGAAAGTGATAAAACTGAATGTAGGAAAAGTAAGAAACGTGAGAAATCGCTTTTAGAAATACATCGAAACCAGCTACAAAAGGAAAAACGGGTTTGTTTCGTCTATATCATACTCTGGATTTACATGTTTGTATTTCCCTCTAAATGAGAAACTCTAGTAAAAGTGAAATATAAATTTTAGAAAGAAGAAAAAGAGGCAAAATCAACCGGGCAGGCAATTAGAAGACCATTTGACAGAGATATCGATTTAACAGTTAATCGATTCGATCAATCTCAGAAGAATGCTATCATACATAAAGCACAATATTTAGACGAAAGATTTTCTCGTGGGAAGCTTTAATTCGAAATCAGAGTAAATAAATATTTCAATTCATTATTAAAATTTTATATATAACGAATTAATTTGTTTCAGTATAAGTAGTTTTGCTAATGAGTGCCTTCACACACACGCGCGCACGCGCGCGCACACACATTTACGGTAGAATTACATTTAAACATAAACCAAATTTTTTCATTTTTCATAAATAATTTTTTTCTCACTTGTCCAGTGTTTTATCATTATAACAGTTAATCATATTGTAAATGATATTTATGTTGAAATATTAAAAATGTTTAAAATACTCAAAGACTGGAATATATTCGAAGTCACTCAGGCAAAATATATTATATACTATAACGTAAATTCAATTAATTATTCCTTAAGTTACATTATATATAAGTTACATTATATATAAATAATATATTTCCTTAATTGACTTTATATGTATCATAAATCATATCAAGTCATATTTTTGTTTCTATTTTTATTGTTTAAATAATCACTTTTCACATTTGTAATGTGTACGTGCAGCATGACATATGATAAGTGAATAAACTTGTAAATACATAGTAGACGTAAATTTCACGTATAAAAACAGAAAAGTACTTTTTCTCGATTAATTTTACTGGGCAATCAATTTTATCCGTAACTATTTAAGGACATTTTGATGTAACAATTGTTTTATCCAACGCAAACGTTGTAATTGTACTGAGTTTAAATACACTTTTTACAAAAATCATCGTATGTTCAATTTGCTTCACGAGATAAAATAAGAAAGAAAGAAGAAGAAAAGAAAGAAATGTCAATGATATTAACATTATTAAAAAAAATAAGTAAATATCTATTTGCGTAATCGATCACAAAAAAAAAAGAAATGCAACAAATATAAAATAAGTTACAAAGAGATACAAAATGCGTTAAGTAATTCCACACTAGACATAATAAAATATCTCATTATCAAATATATCATGAAAACAACATCGAAGATTTAAACAAGGTAAATTTTAATCTGGAAATTGTTATTGTGATATTATGTAAAAATCGATGCGTTACAAGTATAAGCTGACATTTAATTCGATTTAAATTTAGCGCTCGCATCGCGTGACGTATACACACGTCCAACATGGCCGCGATCGACAGGAAAATAGAGGAAAAAGTGTATGTACGACATCCGCGTGACTCCAGTGATCAAGTTACCTACAATTGCTTTTTTTTTTGTTTCAAATGTTAAAAAAAATCGGACAAATGGATCTTGCGTTACGTGCATACGGCCGTTCAAGTCGCCTTTATTGAAGTAATTATGAATAAGCGACTAGTTGGACGAAGCTGAGTCTGACATTTGCTGGCAAACTTTATTTGACGGATTAAATCAGTCGCAGTCGGTTTAACATCGTCGTAAGGGGCTTTATGTTTTTATCAGCAAGCGATATTCCCGATATTTCTGCCGTTTCGAAACTGTGGAAATGAAACGCGACGTGTAAACGATGCACGTCTTGTTGCACACTCGTGATATTCACAATATTACATTTGCGAATGCGTGTGCATGCACGTACATACTTGCGTACGTTTCACAAACCAATTGAATGTCCCCTGTGTGTTATACGTAACGTGTTTTCCTGGATGAAAAAGGATAGAGGGACACTAGTATGTATGCATGTATCAGTATATCAAAATTATCTACGTATTTCATATCAAAGCGTTAAGTACTGATACAAAGTTATAGGGTTAAAAATTTGCATATGTCTCTCCGTGTACAACATACGTTTATCACAAGATGCTTGTCACGAATTATTCGTGCATTTCGTTATATACAGCATAACCGGATATTTTTGGAGAAACTTGCAATATCCGTCTGTCAATGTATTATGTCGGAATAACGGGTGCACACAATCTTTTTTCCCATACTGACAATAGAATAACTAGCTTGCATCTTTTCGCCTACGGGTCGTTTATTTAACAATTAATCGATAATTAATCATTCAAGATATAATCGTGTGACGAGAGTGAAATGTTATAATATGATTCATCAACAAACTTGATCTTGTTCACTAAGTCTTTGGTATAAGTGAAGTTTATTGTACGAAATATAAATTATTGTCACATAAGAACGTATTATTACTTGATGATGTAGTTAGTACATGGATGCTATATGAAAATGGTACGAGTTAATATTCAATTCTTACAAAAATAAAAAAAATCGTTATCGTAGAAACGTGACTCATTGTATGGGAAAGAAGATTCTTTGAGAACTAATAACCTTTTTAATACACGAATATGAGTGTTTTCTCATATACACATGTACACCAATGCAGTTGTACAATTTTATTAATTGTAATTTTATGATAACGTATGTAGCGTATGTACATAAGATAGATAAGCAAAACTGTTGGCGAACAATTTGTAAGTATTGTAATCATTTTAACACAGGTTAGCATCATTTTGTTTGTTGCAATGGATACGCTAGTATCTTGGAACTGAATACTACGTATGATGAAGTTCTTAAACAAAGTTTCCATAGAGTATTAAAATTGACAAGATAGTGGATACCTTTGACATTTTAAAAAAATGAGACAGTGTTGCTTGAATCACCAACTTCAATTGTGGCTTATGTTTCTTATCTTTTGTGTGATGTGCATCAAAGCGGATATTTTAGTATTTTCTGCAGCCGCGAGGCATCAGATTGAAGAAGAATTTAGAGATATACCAGCTAGATTTGGAGGTTTAATACCATCTGATGGAGTTAAGGTATGTACTTACATAACATGATATAATGTTTGCATTACATTATACGTGCTAAGAAAAAGTGACATTTTTACATAATTAACGATATCATCAATGCAATCTAATATCGATAGTTTTGATATTTTGTTAGAAAATAGAATATGATGATAATAGATAAATTGGAAATGAAACAAATCTTTTGGTTTATGGGAAATCTTTTATTAGGGAATGGTGGCGTATGCAGAACCACCTACGGCATGCCATGAAATACAGGGTCCTCCTAATAATACCAATTACAATGGCAATTGGATAGTTTTGATTGCTCGCTATAATTGTAGTTTTGAAAGAAAAGTACGAATGGCGCAGAAAGCTGGGTACGACGCTGTGATTATACATAATGTAAACAGCAACAAACTAGGTAATTGTTTTCATTTCAAGAAAGAACATAACAAGTACAAGTGCAATGATTATCATTGAGAAAATTCGAACAATGGCCATTTAGTATTAGAATGCTTCTGAATTGTACATACAATATTCTTTGTTACAGAACCAATGCAAGCTAGAGATCCTGTAGGGATATTAATACCATCTGTATTTGTCAGTGAAATCACAGGATTAATTATTAAAGAAAATTATTTATACGATGAGTTATATTTTATATTAATCAATGATGATATCCCGTTCAATGTAACACACTTGTTTTTGCCTTTTGCTATTGTTATCGGAATATGTTTTCTAGTCATGATTATCTTTATGGTGAGAGTTGCAAAATGAAATTATAAGCAACATATAAATTATTTTTAGTGAATATTTTTAGCAAGATACAGTTATTATTATGTACATTTAAAACTCTTTTTTGTAAATTTATAGATTGTTAGATGTATTAAAGAGAGGAGAAAGCAACGAAGGCATAGGTTATCTAATTCAAGTTTGAAGAAGATTCCTACGCACAAATATACAAAAGGAGATCCGTATGAAACGTGTGCAATTTGTTTAGACGATTATGCAGAAGGTGAAAAATTACGAGTGTTACCCTGTGCACATGGTTAGTATGCTTTTTTGTGCTTGATTGTTGAAAGATTTAAAATATTTCATAATTGGTAGTATTAATATCTTGAATAATAATTTACCATTTATCTTCAGCTTATCATACAAAATGTATAGATCCTTGGTTGACAAAAAATCGTAGAGTGTGTCCAGTTTGTAAGCGAAAAGTTTTTGCAGCGGATGAACAAGTTGTTACTGACGAGAGTGATTCCGATGCCGACGACACGACACCTTTGATTCGCGAGGGTCATCAAGGTAAGAAGAAAAAAAAAAGTTCTTCGTTCTTTTCAGTGTATAAAATTCAATTAAAATGTTTTATTAGGAACTCAAGGTGGAACATTTTCACGACAAAGGGAGAATCCTTTTAGCCGTGCCAGATCACAGACCAGAAGATCACAAACAATCCATTCAAGTAGTAGTTCTGATTCGGAAGAATTGTGTGATACACCAGATGATGAAGCTAGTATAAGCGGAGAACCATCTAGTGGAACTGTTTTCAGGGCGTTTGATATTCATAGCATTAATGGTAAGAATTACTTTGAAATATTACTTGAGCACGTTTTTATTAATCCTCTCAATGCAGTTCAACATTCATATGTTATAAAATATGTATTGCTAGATGATTATAGCTATCAGCACTGTGAGGGTTAATAACTTAGTAATGAAAAACGAAAAAAAAAAATAGCAATTTTAATCGTTTAATTAGGCGAGTTGCCGGATCTAGAGTGTTCTGTGAGCAGCACTAAACCACACACAGTAAATTTATGTACAGACGCTGAAGGGTTGCCAGCCCCAGTCGTTCAAATCATAAATCGGAATAGACGACCTGTAGCAAATTCACAAATTTGTGAAATTGGATCTGTCGTATCAATTGAAAATGAAGCTACAAATTTTATTAACACGGATTCTGAAGAGACCGATATTCATGTGTAAAATTCAATTCAATTCTATTTTTTATTATGTGTCTATGTCGTAGATAAAACCGATACGTTCTTTTAAGGTGTTACAAAATTTGATCTAGATTACTAAAATAATTCATAAATATGAAAACGAGGAATATTTTCGATGTTTTAAGGACTTCATGTTTTTATTTCAAAGAACTAAGAT